GTTTTTTTCACATTTTTTGTCTATTACAAACAAAGCTACTATGACCATTCATCTAAGAGTTTTAGTGTGAGAAAAAACCAGCTGGACATATTTATGTGGATCTGTTTCTGGGTTCACAATTTTGCTTCATTACTGTCTGTGCTTTTCCCATCCAAACTGCAGTGTCTTGATGATTGTAGTTACATTGCAAGGTTTGGAGTTCTGTTGTGACACTGTAGGATCAGCATTCAAACCCACCAGTCACTCCTTGGAAACCCTATACAGGATTGCTCTGAGTCAGAACTGACTTGACGGCACTTAACAGCATTGTAAGTCTTAACATCAGATAGACTGAAGTTTCACACAAATTCTTTTTCAAAATTCAATTTAAAAATCTATGGCTTTCTATTTACAACAGAATAAACTTATTCATATTCACAAAAGGAATTTCTGGTATTTTGATAGGAATTCTGTTATACCTATAGATCAGTTTTGGGGTGGGGGGGATTAACATCTTTTGAGCATGATATGCTCCTTTTTTTTTTTTTGAGCTAAGATCTGTAATTTTAGCATACAGATCCTATATATGTGTTGTTAGATTCATATATTTCTTATCGTTATTGTTAAGTGCAGTCGAGTCAGTTCTAACACATAGAGACCAAAGGTATAGGGTTTCTGAAGAGCGACTGGTGAATTTGAACCACTGACCTTGTGGTTTAAACCGACCTTGATGTCCAATGCATTATCCCACCATGTCACATCAAGACTCTAGATTTATATATAAGTTTTTAATTTTTCTTTGGCATGACTTTAAACACTTTATGTTTGATTTGTTTCCTTTGGTTTGGTTTGGTTTTTTTTTGCGGGCCATGGACCAAGTTTTATTCTTTTTAAATTTTTGAGTTTTTATTGTGAATTGAGTGATAGTTTACATGGGAGAACTCTAATTTTACATCAGTCTGCTCCGTACATCATCATTCAACAGTATTTGCTTCTATTCCCTCTGTTTGTTTTGTTTTGTTTTGTTTTGTTTTGGATGTATACAAAAAACACTCAGGAATATATAATCATTTAAATAACCAAAGGGCACCTTCTGCAAGCCTGCCTCCTGGCTGTCAGCACATAGCCTTTCTCTTTCCATGAGTCCAGAGTCCTCAGCTGCTCCCTCTCTCCATGTCTTCATCTCTGCCTCCATCTCTGGTGTCGCTGCTTCTCTGGATAGGGTCCCACATTCCGCTCATTCTCTTGTCCCTTGATGGTCCTAGCACCTTGTATTGTTAACTTAGTTTTGCACTCGAACTCACTTATTTTAGTTTTAGGGGCTGTCTTGTAGATTTGGGGGGATTAAATACAAATGGGCTTAATTCTTCAATTCTTGTTTGTATGGCTTTGATTTATATATTTATTTTCTTTGACTTTTTATTATAAATTTCATGAAGGTTTACAGAGCATTTCACGTTTTCCATTCATATACATTTTGTTTCCTATCACTGATTGCTATCCTACAATGTAACACCACTCATCCCGTACTTCTTCCCTGTTTCCCCTTCCCATACCGCTTTGTTTCCTGACCCTCTGAACTTTGCCCTTGGGTAAATGCTGCCCTTTTTGAACTCAAATGGTTGATTGTTCTAAGGAGTGTGCACCTTTCTAGTGTTGCCATTCACCTTTCTAGACCTGTCTATTGTTTGTCTGAAAATGGAGCCACAAGAGTGAGTTCATTTACAGGCCTGAAAGGTGACTAAGCATGGTAGTCTTCAAAGTTCCACCAGACTCTACCCCACCAGCAAGTCTGATCTTCTTCATTATTTTGAGTTTTGATCCACATTTTCTCCACTTTATCCAGGACCTTCTAATCACTTTCAGAGCAGTTGGTAGTAGTAACATCTAGTTCTAGAACCATCTTGTTCTTCTGGCCACAGGATCATGGAGGGTGAGGTTTTGCATTGTCTGTTAGTACTAATGGGCTCTGTAGGATAAGCACTGGACTAGTCACTGAAAGATCAGCAGTTCCAACACACCAGTCACTCATTAGAAACCCAATACAGGGGGACTATGAGTCAGAACCTACTTGATAGCACTTAACAACAATTAGATCTTTGGTCTAATTCTTTTCATGTGTCTTTTTTGTTTCCATTCTTTCATCTTTCCCAATCCTTCTGAACTTTGTCCTTAACTTATAATGACTGCACTATTGATTCAAATGGTTGACCATAACTCACTAGTGTTGTTCTGCTAGTAAGCCTGTTACTTGGCTGAAAATTGAACCAAGCAACAGGAAGTGAGTTCAGTTCCAGATGTAATAGGTGACCACTCAGTATCCCCTTATTCTGTTTGAACAACTGCCTATTGGTCTATATACACATTCCTCACAAGCTCAATTAAGTGTCCGGAATACCTATTCTTCACAATGTTATCTACAATTTATTACGATCTACACAGTCAAATGTCTCTGCATAATCAATAAAGCACAAGTGTTTCTCATATTCTTTGCTTTTCTTCTTTTTGAAGTTCTAAACCTCTTTCTGTTATGATTTCCTTTTTGTTTGGAGACATTCTATTAGCCAATCTTTAAAGGTAGGTCTGCTAACCAACAATAAATTCTCTTAATTTTCCTTAGTCTCAGAATGTCTCTATTTGCCCTTAATTACTGAAGGATAGTTTCATTAAATTTATAATTTGTGTTTGACAATTCTTTTTTTTTTTTCTGATGAAAAATCTGCTGTCATTTAAATTGGTGTTTCTTTATAAGTAATGTGTGACTCTCGGATACTTTCAAGGTGTTTTATCTTTAGATTTTCAAATTTTCAATTATGATTTGTCATGACTTGGATTTCTTTGGATTTATACTACTTGGCTTGGCTCAGCTTGACTCTGTAGGCTTATGACTTTTACAGAGTTTTGGAGGATTTCAGTCATTACATCTTTAAATATTTTTTTCCATCCTCACTTTGTGTGACGTCAACAGTATGACTAGTAGGGCTTCTGCTATTGCTCTACAGATCTCGTAGTTCCACTCATTTTTCTTCAATTGCCCTCTTTTTCTGATTGACAATTTTTATCATTCTATTTTCAAGTTCACTGATTTTCTTTCATATTTATTCTGCTATTGAGCCCATTCAGTAAGTTTTTTATTTTTAGTATTTTTAGTCCTAAAAATGTTTCCACTTGCTTCTTTTTTATACCTTCTATTTCCAGGTGGCATCATTGATGGACTCAAGTGTGGCAGCAGTAGTGAGGTTGGCCCAGGATCGGACATTGTTTCATTCTGCTGTGCATGGGGTCGCTATGAGTCGGTTCCGACTCAATGGCACCTGACAACAACAACAACATTTCTTAGGACTCCTGGCACAGTGCTGTAGGATCAGCACTGGACTGCAAACCACAAGGTCGGCAGTTCAAACCCACCAGTTGCTCCTTGGAAACCCTATACAGGGTCGCTGTGAGTTGGAACCAACTAGACAACACTTACAACAACAATTTCTTTAGTAGGATTTTTCATTTTAAAAAATGTGTTCCAACAGTATTTGTAATTGTTTACTGAAGCATTTTTATTACAACTGCTTTAAAATCCTCCTTGAATATGTCTGGCATGTGCTGTCTCAATATTGTTGTCAAGTGCCATCAAGTCACTTCTGACTCATTGCAAATTCATATAGGGTTTCTGAGGCTATAAATCTTTGTGAAAACAGAAAACCTCATCTTTCTTCTGTGTAGTGGCTGGTGGGCTCAAACCACCGACCTTGTGCTTCATAGGCCAGTGATTATCCTACAGAGCCACTGCGCTTCCCCATCTCTGAGTTGGCATCTGTTAATTGTCCTTTCCCTTCTAGTTGTGACTTTTTCTATTCTTGCTGTGATGGGTGATTTTCAATTGTAGATATTATGTTAGAAGACTTTGGGTCTTATCTAAATTTGTATTTATCACATAAGTGCTACTTACTTAAGTGGGCTGTGGTTTTCATGTCAATGCTATTTTGATCTGCTCTGTTTACTTGGTGGCATTGGTAGTCTTGCTCCATCCCTGCTGTTGCTGCCTGAGGGTGGGCTCCCAGGTTAGGGGCAGGAAATGTGGAGCATCTGGGGGAGCTTCTGCTCACCCCTCATTACTATTGTGCCAGGGGTAACTGTACCCATGGACTCACTTCTGCTAGTAGGTAGTGTGTTAAGAGATGGCTCCTGGGAACCTTAGAGTTGTGTGTAGCATCTCTTATGGAATTGGAACATCATTTTTATTTTCCGCTGCAGCCATATTTTTGTTGGGAGTCAGACAATAGAGTTTTCAAATATCTGAAACTTGCTTCCATAAGGTATTTCTATAGCTTCATCATAGTTTACTCCTGAGAAGTCCATTCTTACTCACCTGATGTTTCCTTTATTATTATTATTAAATAATTTTTCCTCTGTCCTTGGTGGCTTCTTGTGCCTTCTAAAGGATGAAATGATCAACCTGCAAAGTAAAGAATATATCAGATCATCTACTTTGCACTGAGTGTGTCAGATAATACCCACGGATTTAAAGTTTCCCGTACCTAAAATATCTGTGTCTATGCCAAATATTAGCTCTGAATTAGAAAAACATCCCAACTCTGGGCTTCCAGTAATGACTTTCTCCCTCTTACTCAAATACATTCCACCGTGTTCCACCATCTGGTTTGAAAATGTCTACATATTCCATACTTGCACCTACCCCCACCCGAAACCTCTATAGTACCTGTGTCTTTGAAGCAGTTTGTCTTCCCATTGCCATCACATGCTGTTTCATCAAGTTCAGTGCTACCTATGAGAGCATATTTATACCTTGCATTAAATGTGAGGCTTCCCTTGTGTGTTATTCTTCCTCACCAGGATGGGTATATGGATATGGAAGGTCCTAATTTGTATTTCCAGGACTTTCCAACACTTCCAGCTTTGCTGTGTCAAACTCTTCACATGCCCAGCACACAAACCACTTCAGCCATCCATTGATTCCTCTATTCGGTCATCATCTGTCCAGCAAGTCTTGTGTACAAGGCACCATAATGGTGCTGGAGATCCAGTTCAAGACATTTTCAGGATATCTGGGGGAGTTTGAAATACAAATAGGCTCAGTTCTGGGTGATGTAGAGAAGCAGAAGAGGGCCCCCACTTCAGGGGAGAAGATATGTGGTAACAGGGAATACTCTACTATACTCCCAAAAGATGAGTAGGGATTAGTCATGTAAAGAGAGGAAGAAGAACTGTGCAGCCAGAGAAATGCATCACCCAATCTCTGAGTCAGAAAAGACAAGACTTGGTCTCACAGTTGCTGAGGGTCATGTCAAGGTATGATCTTGAAGTTCCCTCAGGAAAGCTGACTGACAGCAAGTCTTCGTGTGTCAGGAGTGAACTTTGGTATGTTCTGAGGACAGTAAGCTGGGAAGGAGAGCAACTTGGCCTGATTGTGTATCAAAGAACTGCCGTGTGAGTCAGGATTTCGGAGAAAGGCAAAGGCGGAAGACAATCAATGCTAGCCAAGGTGTCACTAAACCAAAAAGCCAAGCAACCAATAAAACCACTCCTCTAGGTGCTGCTCAAAGGTATGCCTGGCTATTGGGGTAACAATCAAGTAGGGAGGTCCTCTTCTACAGGTGGCTGGAAAGAATATCAGTAGGCCTAACACATGGATAATGAGAAAAGACTTATGGTCCATATGCATTTATCAGAACAATCAACTGAGAACCCATCTTCATCTTCATTCCCACAGCCTTTCTTGCCCTAGACTGCTCACTTATGGTCTCTACCTTGCGGCTCATTTCAACTGGGCTTTTCTTGGGTAGCAGTCAGTGAAGGCTAAGGAGGCAAGCTGAGTTAAGTGGATCTGGGATCACTTTCTACCTGTATCACCTGGAGCAAGTTACGTCACTTCTCTGAACCCTAGGTCTCACCTCCACAATAACATCAAACTTTCAGCATTGCTGTGAGGTTTAGAGATTGTTGTTGTTGTTGTTAAGAGATAGTGCTGGTAAAATGCCTGTCATAGAATAGATGCTTAACCTTCTGCAGGCTGTGTCCTGGCATTGATGCCCCAAACAGGGAGATAATTAGTGAGGGAAAGATTGGAGTGGGGAACTCTGGGAAAATGTTCTCTGCAGTCTTTTCTCTGGCTCTTCAAACTAACACGGTTCATCCTTAGGAAAAGAGTTGAATGAGTTGTGGCTTTTGCCTCTTCAGGATATTAAAAATAATTGTCATGGAGCTAACTTCTATTCGTGACAACCTTGTGTGTATCTGAGTAGGTAGAACTGTGTTCCATACGGTTTTCAGTGGACAGTTTTTCAGAAGTAGATCACCAGCCCTTTCTTCTGAGATGCTTCCAGGTAGACTTGAACCTTCAACATTTCCATTAACAATTGAACACTAATTATTTCCATTATCCATGGATATTAGACAATTATTAGAAATAATGTCAAATTTTTCACTACAAAGATAACTAGAGGTACAAATATGTCCAAAAAATTTATTCATTGAAAAAAACAACATACTGTATTATGTATATAATTTTATAATTGTAAAATTAAAAGGAAAGTGCCCAATTCTATCTGCATGTATATGGGTTTGAAATGTTCCATGAGTGAAAACAATGGGAGGAAACCCCTCAAAAAACACAGCTTCCTCAGGAAGTTAAGACCTCAAGAGGTTGAAGAAAAATTATGGATTCTTTTAAAGCTCCTCTATATTGTTTGGAAAAAATTATATTAAGTGTGTTTTACTTTCATAAAGAAAATTTCTAAAGAAAAAGAACCTGGAGATCTGCACATAAATTCCAGATCTACATGCTAAAATGTAATAAATTATTCAATTTCTCCAAGCTTTACTCATTGTTTATACAATAGGGACAATCCTCTTCTTCCTGGAGTTTTGAAACTTAAACATTTAAATTCATTAGTTCACTCAATAAAAACATACTGAGAGTCCACTATGGTGGTGAAGGTGGTGTCGGTTGGTTCTGACTCTTTGCAAGGCTGTAAATCTTTATGGGAGCAGAAAACCTCATCTTTCTCCTAAGGAACAGCTGGTTTCAAACTGCTGACCTTGAGGTTATCAACCCGACTCGTAATGACTATGCCAGCAGAGCTCCTTGAGAGTCCACTATAGACCAATCAATATAGTGAGCAGCATTCATCAACAGTGAGCAAGATCCATGCAATGCCCGCTCCTAAGAGCCTTACACTGTCACCTGGTCCAGTAAGCACAGATGAGTGACCTACAACAGAACCTCCTGCCTTGTAGGAATAAGCTGGGGAGAAAACTGGTAGGATGGGTCTTTGGTGTCTTCCTGTTCTACTCACACAAGTATGCTCCCTGGCATGGGTTGGAGCCACCAGCACTGTCTTCTCTGCTGCGTACATCTCTGCATGGGTTGTATTTCAGATCCCAAACCCAAGAAGAAATGTGGAGTGAACTGTTTTCTGGCTTTGATGACCATCTACCTGATTCTGCTCACTGTGGGCGTGGGGCTGCTGGTGATGGAAGGTAATGCATCCTTGGTCCCATTGGCTCCCTCTGGCTCTGACTAGATACGGTCGGTCCCTGGCACAGCACTCAGGTAGATTGGAGAGAGCCATGGCTGCCAGGCTTCCAGAACAGGGTTCACAGCACCTGGCAGTCACAGTGATGGGAGGGGGGGGCAAAGAAAAGGAAGTGTATATGTATGTGTGTGTGTATATGAGAGAAAGAGAGAAAGCCAGCACATATATGAGCTGAAATGTGCAGTGATTTCATAAGTGTTCTGCCACATTCATCTTACAGGAAGAAGTTGCATTGATCAGAGTGTTCACTTTAATATGATTTTACTGTTGAAGTCTTCCTGGTCCAAATGTTAAGAAAACAATTCCATCAGCAGACACTGAAGTCACTTAAGAACGTTTTGTGTAGTTGCTGTCAACACATATCACATGCATATTAAAGCCACACATGAGGACCTCTGGTACATACTTAGGGTAGACTAGCATATCACCTGCCTATCCATGCTAGTTGTCATGCATTCATGCCCAAAGCATGAACTAAAGTCTGAACTGCATGAAGCTTGGAGACTGTGACTGCAGGGGCCACATCAGTACAGTCATGCAGGACTGTTCTGGGGACATGTGATGGCTAGCCTGAGTGTGGAGTTCATCTGGTTAAGGTGCAGAAAAAGCTCTGTGCTCCTGTAAGTTTTCACAGTATGTGAAATCTGAGTTTCATATTCAGGACCTATAGAAGTTAGACACAAGAACATCAAGGATATATGCTCAAATGCCTCAAACTTCAAAAAGGGCCCTAAAGGAATGTTTGGGGGTGGGTGTCTAGTTCTGAACCTGCAGGAGCAGTTCCAGATCCTGAATTTGTATCTCCTCAATGACACACTGATTGCCAAGGACAGCCCGGCCTTCTCCCTGTTACAGTCATTGCACCGCCCACACCTGGCTGGAGGTGTGCCTCACAGATATAGACTACAAGACCTGCAGGCTCAGCTCTTACAAATCCAAAGCAGCCAGCAGCATCTACAACAACAAGTGGACAACTTCACTCAGAACCCAGGTTTGGCCCCTGCCCTCTGGGTAAAGTCTCCTCAGGGAATGGTGGGAAAGAAGGAGATGCTTGTTCCTAGGCAAGGTGTCCTGCTTGGACTTGAACCCCTTACCCTGTCAAGGGAGGCTTCCAACACCCTGACCTGGTCAGGTACTCAGGGGGCCAAGGCAGGGTGTGGGATTCCTATAGGACAGAACATGGTGGCTGCAGACCAGGATCTGGGAGACAGATTAAAAACCAAGGACCCTATCCAAACAAAGTATGATTCCTGAGGGCCTAAGGCTGAAGCAACTAGACATGGCTAGAGCAGAGTCTTGAAGTCCAGTACTTATCCAGAATGTTTAGGAGGCTGGATAAGACACAAAGCCTGGGCTGAGTCCTAGGATCACTTCCATGCATTGACACTTATGTAGACTGCTGACTGGAGAGAAAACAGTGCAGAGTCCTAAGCCAATTCAGACACTGTGGGGATCTTGGAGGTGAAAGGACAACTAGAACTGTTGCGTGGCAGCAGGCAGGCTTGGATGGTGGGGCTGCACTCTTTACTGAAACCTGAAAGAACTTAGCCCTGAGCTGATTTGGACAAAACTAGACTAGGGACCTATCTGCTCGGGCTTCACACTGTTCTTGGGAGCTCCAGGGTTCATTACTCTAAATTATCTGTATGACGTGATCTGGGACTGAGCACAGTGATGTCATGTCCAGGGTCCTGTTGGCCAGAGTAAGTCCTAGACACAGGGTCCAGGAGAGCAAGTCCCTCCAGAGTAGAGCCTGCAGCCTCCCCGTGATGAAAGTAGAGGCTGGGATGAAACTAAAGAAAGGCCTGACAGCTGTGGGCCAGATGGACAGCCAATGTCAAGGTCAGTGGACACTCCATGTGGACAAGTGTCGTTCCCTGCCTTGGAGTGTGCAGGAGTTAATTTTCCACCAACACGAGGAGGCCCTTCACATAACCTCAAGAACCTCCTAATTTGACTTCTCGGTTTTCTTTCAGTGTTTGGGATACTCAGGGCATCCCAATCTTCTTTCCAAAAATCTGTAGCTCTGAAGGACTGACAGCTCTTGGACTGTTAACCACAAGTTACAACTAAACATATGCTTCTTTCCAAGGGCACTTTCTTGTAAACATCTAGGAGTTAGGCTTCCTGTTGTTCAAACCCCAGCAATCTAAAGCCCTTGCTCCCCACATTGAGTGTGCTTGACCTTCAGTTATAGAACCTGGGTGCTCTCTGGGAGAGGCAAAGTCCTGATGCCTCCCACTCAGCCTTCATCTAATGTGCTTCTCTTGTAGAACTTTTCGGGGCCAAACGTGAACAAAGAATTCCAGGTAAGTTCACTTTCTCCAAGAACCATCCACTGCTTTAGCATAACTTCAGCCCCGGTGAAGGGACCCCTGGCTGTGCCATTTTGGGCTCCACATTTGACCCTAGGTTACCTTCCATTGGTTGTCACAGTCTCCTCCACTTGCACTGGTCCTCAGTCAGGTGTCCTGACCATGCTTGGACTCCTAGCTTCTCTGTCTTTACACAATTTTGCCTAAAATGGTTAATCCCTCCATCCCAACCCCAGTCACCTTCCAAGGCCAGTCCAAGTCCCATCCCCTGCCACACACACCCTCAGCTTCCCCCAGATGTCCTAGCTGCAAACAGAGGCCATTTCCTTTCAGCATATCTGATACTTAGTGATGATCTTCTGAAAGGAAATGTCCACTTTATCATGCATCATTTACATGGATGTGCGGCTTACTTCTTACAGAGGATGATTAGAACATGACAAGAGTGAAGTTGTGTTACACAATGGAAGGAGAAGGCTGTGGGGTCAGACTGACCTGAGTCTAATCCTAGGTCTGATGCTTACTAATTGTGAAGAGAATAATGGTAATTTTACTCACTTCAAAAAGCTGCTACAAGACTCAAGTGAGATGATGTCCAAAAAAATGTCTGGTCTAGCAGGTGCTTCCTGAGGACAGGGCCTGGTAGGGTGCTGCAGGGTAATGCACTGGACAACAAGGTTGGTTTGAATCTCAAAGTCAGCGGTTCAAGTTCACCAGCTGCTCCTCAGAAACACTTTACACGGTAACACCAACAACTCTTAGGAAAAAACTGTGACTTATTTGCGTTTCCTTGTTCCTCACCACATACACATAAGTGTGTGTATGCACACAGATACACATGCTTACACACATGTACATGTGTACTAGATGCATTTATACAACATGCACATGCACAACCACACACATACTCACTTCACTCACAATTATATTGCATTCAGTACAGCACAGTGATTGAATTTAACCCTAAAAACAAATGCACTTGAGATTTTTAGCATGGAATTCTTTGGTTCCATAATTTTTCAAGTGTGGCTTTGCACTCTATGTCCTCCTCTATAAGATAGAGTTAATAATACCACCTCATAGGATTGGTGTGAGGGCAAAAGAAATCAAATGTAAGACACATTGTCCAGCCCACATTCATGTTACTTGTTATTGTTATTTACGACTTCTTACTTGCTGCCATGTTTGCTGAAGTACTGTTATTACTCAGCCGGATTGACGCATGCTGGTTCCTCTGCTCCAAGGAGAGGTTATTCCAACAACTTTCATCACATTAATGACAGGGCCTATGTTTAAACTACTTCTCAACCGTAATCTTTAAAATCTGCTCATCACTTACCCCCAGCTGAACTTTCTAGGACCAGACACAGCCCATCTGCTCCCCAGCATGTCAAGCACACACACTCTCTTCCTCTGCACTAATATGTAAAAGATCTCCAATTCTTTCTCCACATCTCTCTCAGATTCTGTCTCTACTTCTCCCAGGACTTCATGCTCCTCTTTTGTGATATGAGGACAAGGAGCCCAGTCCCACCCACCCCTGGTAGAACGCATGTGGGAATCATTTGCGCTCCTGTCTACAAAACCATCTATTCAAGTTATAGCCATGATACTCCCATTTACCCAGAGCCTGTGCATGTATATTCCAAGATGGGGGTCAACTGCTACATTCACCCCATTTTATTGATAAAGTTGAGGCTCAAAGTGATGAAGTAACTTGCACCAGGTCTTAGAGTTAGAAGGGTGGTGTTAATATCTGCACCCAGTTCTGTCCGAGTCCATCTCTCATACAATTGTTTTGAGCTCTAGGCCATGAGCTTCTTGCAGGGAGTAGTTCTATCTTCTTGCACTTTAGATGCTGAGTGAGCCTTTGTTGAATGAATGGTCATGACAGTTAGTGAGTGACTTGTCACTCTGATGAGTTAGTGTTGTCTCTGCCCCTCTTCTTCAGGTCTCCCAGGTCAGAAGGGTGCCCCAGGCATCCCTGGAACCCCTGACCTGCTGGACCCACCAGCTGAGAAGGGAGCCAAGGGGGCTACAGGATATAATGGAGCCTCAAGTACAGGGTTCTGTCTCCTGGCTCTTTTAGTATGCTTCTCTTTGTACAGGCCACTTTCTGAATTTCCTTTTCCTTTCAGGTCCCCCAGGACCCCAAGGCCCACCAGGAATCAAAGGAGAGGCAGGTGAGAAGGGAATGAACAGCAAACTTTCTATAAGTGGTCCTGATGGGCCTGTGTGAGGGGCACCCATCATGTGGGGGGCCTTGGGTATGCTGAAGAGTGCCAGGAGTGCTGCTCATCAGGAGGGGCTGTGACAGCCGTAGGGCTGGGAGGGGCTGGAGGTGTGGTGTTCTTATTTTCCTCGTGATCTTCAGAGTCAAAGTGTAGCCAGAGTGCTCCTTGGAAGCCAGGATGGCCAGACTTCATCTCTCATACTTCAGTCACTGGAGAAGGATATCATGTTTGGTAGAGAGAGGAAGAGCCCCCCCCCGCCAGTGAAATAGACTGGCACAGTGGCAGCAGCAATGGGCTCAAACATGGCAGCGATTGTGAGGTTGGCCCAGGACTGGGCAGTGTTTGGTTCTGTTGTACACAGGGTCGCTATGAATCAGTACTGACTTGGTGGCACCTAACAACAACAACAGAGAAAAAGCAACTGAATGGGAATATTTGCAAGGAAAGGGAAATAAACAAAGTAACTATCTCCAAGATTATTAAGGAGTTTCTAAGCTTCCAGGCCACCGAGGCAGAAAACAACCCTAGTGACAGAAATGTCATAGATCCACAAAGCAAAGTTGCTAGGATAGAATTTTTTTTTTTTTTTTGAGGAATTGAATTTTGTAGAGAATTTAATAGAAAGGATCCCAAAGAGTCTATTGTTACAAGTCTCCAGCAGGAATTTGGAAGGGGACACAGAGGTTCGCCATGGAGTGGGGTAGGGGACTGGTGGGTGGGGAGAGTTTCTGGTGCAGAGAGAGCATGGTGTTCTGAAGAATACTTACATACTTGGCCCTACGATACACACGTGTACTTGGATACTGCTTACATATGTGTAACTCATACACACACACACACTTTTGCACACTCACGCCCACATCTGTGCATACCACACACAATCATTCTTGAACACACTCCTGAAAATACATATTCAGAGTTGTGCATGTACACACTAGCACTCATGCGTGTAGGCAAGCAAGCACACTCATGCCTGCACAGGCATCTTCACACGCACTCTTGTACACACACATAAACACACACACAGCAGGAAGCTGGCCCCAACCCTTCGAGAAGGGAATGGGTCTTCCTCCCTCCTCTTGTCTCCATAGAGAAAGGGAAAGCCTCCAAGATTCCGGCAACTCACCAGACCTGGTGCTCTGAGTCCCATTTGAGAAAACAAGCCAGCAACCTGACATGCTGCCTTCCAAAGCAGCTCCTCACTTTTTTGGAGCAGAGCCCCAAGTCTCCTCTTGTCTTCAACATCCCAGTGGCCATTTGTATCTGCCAGCTTTGATGACTCCCAACAATCCCACTCAACTTGGGCAACCCTTTCTTTAACCAGATAGTACCTGTAAACCAATGCCTACATCAAATTTTAAAAAGAAGGCTACAAAAAAAAAAGAAGGCTACAGTGGTCTCAATTGGGAGCATATTTTTCAGAGAACCATCTCTGGGCCTTTCCTTTCTACCCCAGCCCCCCACCCCACCTCCGGGTACCAATGGCACACTAAGGAAGAGCCACATAATTCAGAAACTCCCTGTAGGGCCTCTCTCTTAAACCCCCCACGATCATTCTATCCTCTCTTATCTCCTTTCTTACTCTCCCTCCTGGATCCCCCACTTCCCTTTACACTCAATATTTTGTTCTGGCCATCCCCCCTGGATCTGTCCATGATGCCTCCTATCCATACAGATACCTAGTACCCAGTATCTCCTCCACACCATAAGCCACAAGTCTTGTGCCATGTAGAAGAGGTCATCATTTCTGAATTCCATTCTTGTATGGAGTCCTGGTGTGGCGCATGAGTTAATGTGCCAGACTGCAAAGCCATTTGAACTGCAAGGTTGGTGGTTCAAGCTCACCAGCTACTCCTTGGAAATCCTATACAGGGTCGCTATGGGTCGGAATTGATTCAATGGCATCTAACAATAACCACATGGAGCATTAATTATACACATGTTAATTACTGGCCCATTTTACATCGGAAAACTTAAGTGACTTTTCCAAAGTCATCCAGACTGCTGGGTGCAGAGCTACAATTCAAACCAATGCTCCAGCCATCCTTCCACTACCATATAACATGTCATTCCTAGGCACTATTCCACCCTTGGGAACAGAGCCAACACTTCCTAAGAATGTCAGGGGCTCTGCTGTGTGCATGTGTGTTTGTGTGTGAGAGAGACTGAGAAACAAAAGGGAGACAGAGTGACAGACAGGGGGCGATCTCTCTGCTTTACTCTGAGGACAGGAACTGGGCTTAGTGTCTAGCATGTTGACTGATGGACCAGCACACAGTGACTGAACTCTCTTCTCCTTCTCCACAGGCCTCCAAGGACCTTCGGGTACTGCCGGGAAGCCAGGAGCCACTGGTAACTACACATTCTACATCACACTCAATGATATATCCCCTCTCCACAGCTCCACCCTGTCCCAAGTGAGTTAACACCTTCTCTACAGTCCTCTTGAGACTAATTTCTGAGAAGAAAGCAATTGGGTCCAAGAAACCTCATCAAGACGGTCCAAGACATGAGCCAAGACATTCCCTACTTCCTCTGGGACCCCTCTTGACATCTCCTCAGAATGCTCCCTGCCTCATTGACTAGGAACCTGTCCTCAGCAAGGACAGGAGGAATTCAGCTCACTAGCCTCTCTTTATAGGTGCACCTGGACCTCAAGGAGAGAAGGGCAGCAAAGGTGATGGAGGTCTCACTGGCCCAAAAGGGGAAAGTGGAGCTAAAGGAGACAGAGGAGAGAGGGGCCTCCAAGGTAAGGTGGAGGTGAGGGTATTGTGCTGGCTGGGAGATGCACTCACTCTGTATGTAAGAGCTACTCAGTGTACACAGAGGGCAGGGCAGGATTTGTCTGCAGATGTCCTAGGGGCCCCAGATGTGTGTCTTTGACAATTGAGCCCTTAGCAGGGACACATCAACCACCCTAAGATATTTGGGGGGAAAAAAAAAAAAAAAAGCTAGTTTGTGTGGTTCCCAGCAGAAGAATGAAGACCATTTATGTGCTGAGGTAAGAGAAGAAGGATGGTTTAAGAATGGGTTGGCCTGAGATGAAATCATGAGAGCCTACTTACTGAGGCCACAGAATTATTTTTTTGTAGTGCTGAAGAGAGGATTCCTACATCAGGCAAATGTTTGGACAGCTGACTGCCAAGGATTGTTACAAAGCTGACACCTGGCAGTTCTGTCTGCAGATGGGGGAAGGAATTCCAGGATTTCTTCAGGCTCCGCCAGCCCAAGAGAAAGGGCTGCCATCCAAGTCTTTGTCCTCCAGCACTTTGCCCTCTGAGCCAGAGACATTCTGTCTCGCATCCCACGCTCACTCGAAGCCACAAGGAGGTCATAGTGCCTACACCCTAAGTCATATATGGAAATGCTCTGGTCAGCCTGAGGAAATGGACAGTTTCAGTTCTTCAGAAATCAGGACTCTACCCTTCCCTCTTTCCAAATTTCCTCTCCTAAGTTCTCTGCTTGCCCAACCACCTTTCAGTATATGAACTCTACAAAGCCATGTAAACCGTGGCTTTGGCACCATAGTTCTACTCTCAGGGGATGAGTCTTTCCCAGGGAATGAACCTACTCTCCTTACTGCTCCTTTTAGCTCTGATTGGACAGTTCTGAAGTCAGAAGGAACCATGACACCATGGTTGGAGCTAGAGCCCAGAGCTTTCACTGATATGTTCCTGCTTTCCTTCCCAAGGTTGTCTCCTTTGATAGGGGCATAGAAGTTATAACACAGATGCTGGCCCAGCCCTTCATAGAGACGAGAAAGCAGTGGGCATAATTTGATGGTTGTGGCCAAGAACTATAGGGCAACAACAATGTCTGTTGTTATTGTTGTTAGCTACCATGTGGCAGTCTGGTTGTGTAAACCCTATGGGGTCAGTTCTAGTCTTTCCTATAGGGTCACTATGAGTGGGAATTAACTTGATGGCAGTGGATTTTGACAATTAGACAGTTGTGATCCATAAGGTTTTCATTGACTGATTTTTTGGAAGATTGCCAGACTTTTCTTCCTAACCTATCTTAGTCTGGAACCTGCACTACAACCTGCTAACCGTGTTTGCTGGTGTTTGAACTACTGATGGCGTAGTCTCATTGTAGCATCACATAAACATGCAAGTCCCTACACTACATCAAATTGACAGACAGGTAGCAGAACAAATTCCTACAAGGAAATAATTCCCAGTCTCTCAGAATAAGTGTCATTTGATCCTTCTCCCCAGTGGCCAAGCACTGGCCTCCAACTATAACTATGCCCTTTATGGTTGTATTGTCTCCCATCAAACAGCCAGCATTCTTCAACTATCCAAATCATCTCCAAGCATCTCATTCTCAAGCCTTGCACCTAACTTTACTTAGATGTCTTCCAAGTTTAGATGCAGAAACTTTTGTAAGCATTTGCTCCTGTCCCTTTTGTATTCAGACCATTTTTCTCCTTTTCTACTTAGCTGGGGAGAAGTTTGCCATCATTCTAGATTCCTCTACACTTCATATGTTCTAAAAATGTTAGAATGAAGCAAAAAATGCATCTTAACCAGTTTGATGGCCTAAGGGCATAGTGTGGCTGGGGAGGGACATGCAAACCACTCGAAAACCAAACTTGAAGTTTTTGTAGAAAGGAGTTGCTCAGTCTTGCCCTGTGCAGAGCTTCCCTCAACTGGGATGCACTGAGCAGTGGTACCAAAGGAGGAGGGAGTAAGAGAGAACTGAGGAGAGAACAGATTGGGATGTACCTCGAATGCTAATGATGATAAGTGGACATTTTGAAACCTTAGGAACAGGTGAAGTCTGTGTCTGAACCACAGGCAGAAAAAAATACAAGATGCTGGAATATGTCTGTCTCTCAATCAATTTCTCAGTGCTTCTATCCTCTTTAATATTTGGGATCTGTTTTTCTGGAAACTTCAGATTTGAGTTTAGGAGGCTTTAAAAACAAATTCCAAAAATGCAAACACTAAAATGAACCTGGGGTGGTGCTGTAGGCTACTCACCATACTGCTAACCGCAATGTTGGCAGTTCAAACTCACCAGCCACTCCTCGGAAACTTTATACATGGTCGCTATGAGTCTTAACAACAACAACAATGACCCTGGCCACACTGATTGAGTCTGAGGTGTGGTCCGTCTCCAAGGGAGCAGGGTGCTGAGTGGAGCGCTGAGAGTCTGACTCTGGGACCTTTGGCTGACCATGTTGCTATTGCCAGTCATGCCCATCACCTCATCACCTCTTCATGTGTGGATGTCTTGATTCTGGGGCAAGGGGCGTAACACCACTTTTAGGCATCATAAGAAGGCTCAAGGAGATTCGATTTTGGAATTTGGGTGGGATTGGGGTGTCAGAGTTGGATACCCATGTTGGGTGTGTTTCTCCCCATACCTGACTGTGACTCTTTGACTTTTCAGGCACCAAAGGGGACGTGGGTATGAAAGGAGATGTGGGGGCCATGGGACCCCATGGAAACCCTGGGATGAAAGGTGACACTGGGAAACCAGGCCCACCAGGTAAGAGGACACACAATCTCAGACACAATGACCTGTAAGTATCACAGTTTTCTGACCAACTGAGCCAGAAGAAAAGCAAAAGTCCCTAAAAATTCTTCTTCCTCTTAAGGTGCGGCTGGATATCCTGGAATCAAAGGTGATGAAGGTAAGAACTGTGGGCATCTGGGCATCCTTCTAACTACCATTTCCCTAGCAATATCATCTTTTGGCACCACCATCTTTTATCCGCATCATGTTAACCTAGAGAGATTCTTACCAGCATTTGGAGTTTCTATAAACCTGGTCCCACCCTGACACCCAGAGGTGTCATTAGTGGGTATTCCTTACTCAATCCACAAGTCCCAAACTCTGTAGCAGTGAATGGAAGAGACTAATAAATTGCTAGTATCCCTACAATTTGCCTCCCACTAATTGAGCTAGTTCATGGTTTCTAAAGAGAAATATTTTTAAAGTTACTAAGAAGACAGGTAAGGTGTTGGGAGGTTCTTGCCTCAGTGTTGGGAATTGGGGCCAGATCCAATTGCTGCTTAACTTTCAGGACAACAAGGAGTGAGAGGTCTTCCAGGTCCTCCAGGCCTGGTGGGACTCACAGGTGCGAAGGGAGAGCCTGGCCGCGCTGGTCTCAATGGGCTAATAGGTGAGTTGCTTGGCCCTGAGGTGGGTGAGGAGAAATGCTTGAAGACCCACCTATCCCAGCTCTTATGCTCACTGTGGCATCTCTTTTCCAGGACCACCAGGGAATCCAGGGAGTCCAGGAGCTGCAGGTGTAAAAGGAAGCAAAGGGGACACAGGTACAGAGGTGGGGTGGGGTGGGTGGGGTTGCTGGAGTCCAGGATGGACATTAGAAGAAGGCAAAGGGTCTCAGGTGTTCTGGACTCTAAGGTTCTCTGGTGCTTCAGAAAGAAATTCTTCTGCTGAGGTGCCCCAATCCCAGGCTCTAAAACGCTTTCTTTTGCTGTTCAACACTCCTGCCAGACCTCAAATGCCAAGACCAAATCTCCAGTGTTAAGGAAAAGAGCTGGACACTCACCTATACTCTCTCCTCATCTCTCAGTGGTTTGCATGGTCTCCACTCTCTCCTACAGGCTCAAAACACTATCTTGCACATATTCCCAGAAGGCTGAGTCACACTAACTAAACTGACAGAGAGTAAACCATAAATCATGTGCTAACCTTGTCCACTCACCGAGTATATCCTGGGCACCTGTAATATGCTCAAATGGGCAAGAAACTTTAGGATACTGTGTTGATCCCCAGTTCCTGCACTCAGACATAAGGCTAGTGCAGGAGACAGACAGATGGTCTCAGGCTGTGTCCGGCACACTCTATTGTAGGCATTTGCATGGAGGACTGCCCATGCCACTCAGGTCAGGAGGGATTTGGTAGGTGAGGACAGAGTTTTGGGAAAAAGTTATCTGCTGAACAGTCCAGTCAGACCCCTTTCTGTGAAGGAGTATAGGATCACCGTTGTTGCAGACAACTGGATCCCCTCATTCCTTGCAGCAAGACAGTCCCATAGCAGGGCAGGTCCTGCCCAGTTCTAATTGATGAACTGATTGATTGGTTGGTTCATTCATTCTTTAAGCAAGTGTTACTTTGTTCTTAGATGTTTCAGACACAGAGAGTTGCCAAATGTGTCCAAGTCGTAGAGGTCGAGAAAAGGCAGACTAATGCAGGGATGGTGTGAGACCTTGACCTGAATCTTGATGTATTAGTGGACATTGACCAGGTGGTGGTGACGGGAAGTCTGGAGAGTGAGAACAGAGCTGGAAACTCCTGGGGGAGTGAGGGGTAACTCTATGAAGGCTGTGTCCCTGAAGTCTGGGGTGTAGGGGAAGGTCAGGAACTATGCCAGTTCCTGGTAGGCCTTGCTTGGACTTTGGATCTGTGAGCTCTGGGGTTTTTCTAAATGCTGTCAGAAGCCATAGACTGTACAGTCCCTCCTACACCTTCTCTTTGTCCTTTCCATCTGTCTAGTCTCACTGTGTGTGTGTGCAATGGTCCCATGTAGATGGCACTGGAAGGCCACTAGCAAGATTTTGCCTTGTGGAAGGTTTCATCTGGGTAGAGTGGCCAGATTCCCTTGTCTTGTAGGCTAATTCTAATCTTATTCTTCCACCTTCCCTTGTCCCAGATCTTAAGGTCCATCTGTCTTTGGGACCTGAAACTCTCTTACCCCTGTGTTTTCTGCTTGGTTTCATAGGGTTGATGGCTGTCATCCCTGTTAAAAGTAGGCAATTCTTCCATTGCCAAATAATGGTTTTTGACTAAGCAAGAATACTGTTGGTAAATCAGGATTTTATCCACAAGGCACACTGTGCCCACTACGTCTCCCAGTATCTGAAGGTAGGGAATTTTGCTCTGCACTCTACGTCTTGGGCTTGCATAATGAGAGCAGCTTCCAATCGTCACCATGTTACCCAAGTTCATATGGCATTCTGAAGTCACAGGTTAATGAGCTTTTGGAGAGGTTGGATTTGACAAATTCTGAACTGGCAGAAGGGGTGGTGGTGGTGGATGAAAGCCAGGTCGTGTCATGATGGGACATTATGTAGACTCATCAATTTCAGGACATAGGTATTCCCCAAACCAAAGGCTCTATAGTGTTTATCCAGTTTGGGTTATATCAAGCCAGGTTTTCAAACTCATGCATTTCCCATTTTGTAAATAAAATCATTAATCTCTCAAAAGGCTTTCTAACGGTTTTAATGAAAACCGAGAAGAGGCATGAGTTGGCTTAACCTAGATAACAGCTAGACCTTATTATTATGAAATAATTATAAAAGTAAAAGGTCATGATTCTTCTTCTGGCCAGGCACTATTTGAACTTGCCCCCGGTATTTTATTTCACCTATCAGTGCACCAGCAAAGTGAGCTTCATCATCCTCACTGTTTATATCTGAAGAAGGAAAGGTTCAGAGAGAGCAAACCCCTTTGCTCAAGGCCTCGTGGCTAGCATACGGGATTTAGCCCCAAAGTTTTATTCCAAAATCTATACTTTTCCAGATTTTGTTGTACAAAAAACACAGAGTATATGATTGAAGAGAAGTTAGAATTGCCCTCAGTTTCAACCTGGACCTTACAAAGTACCTCACAATAGCTAGATAAATCTTGGCCCAATCACCAAACTGCCTACGTTTGTGGGCAGTCACTTCCCCAACTCAGGTAGAATGTGTCACCTTTCTTGCAGTTCTTGAGAGAGAGGAGCCGTCTTAGGTTAAAGGTGACAAGTAGGGAATTCCTTCTATTCTCCTGTTGTATTCTGACTCCTGGTAACCCAATAGGACAGAGTATAATTGCCCGCACAGAGTTTCCCAGACTGTCAACTTTATGGGTGCAGACACCAGGTATTTTACCCCATGGACAGGCTGGCAGATTTGAACACCCAACCCATTAGCAGCTGAACATTTAACCATTGCACTACTAGGGTTTCTTCTTTTCTATTGTTGTTGTGAAGTACCGTCGAGTTGGTTCCGACCCATAGCGACCCTGTATAGGGTTTCTGAGAAGCGACTGGTGAGCTTGAACCACCAACCTTGTAGTTCATACGGCTTTGCAGTCTGGCGCATTAACTCACAGCGCCACACCAGGACTCCTATTTTCTATTGGGAAGATGAAATTCAGTTTATTAAGTATGTCACTAAAAGCAGAACGTTTTCCAATGGTAATTTCCTTAATCTGTTAGAAACAGGATTTTGCTAAACTTCCCCAAATGTATCAGTTTTCTCAGTTTATTAAGTATGTCACTCAAAGCAGAACTTTTTCCAATGGTAATTTCCTTCATCTGTTAGAAACAGGATTTTGCAGAACTTCCCCAAATTTATCAGTTTTCTGACCTTTGCTCCTTCAAATGATTACAAAAGAATAAATTAATTTTTGTTTTGAATACCTCAGCCACTTTGAAAAGTAAAATTTGTTTGGCAATGAGGAATGACTCCACTTGACCCTGTTGATCATGGTATTTCTCTTTCCTACCACTTCTACTAGATTTAATGATTCAGATGCAGCCAAAAAGTATAAGTGTCAAAAGGGATCTGAAATTTTACATCTAAATGACCCTTCATGTCTAAAATAGAACACAACTCTGACAGTTCTGTCCTTTTATCTTCTCTTGTGTCAAGAGCAAAGTGCAAGAACTCAAAATGATTTTAAATCTGTATTTTCAGATGTTTTATTTGTAAAATAATCCATAAAAGTCATTACCTAGTGCTGCTATAACACAAATCCAACACATGGCAGCTTTAACACACAAGTTCAGATTCATGGTGTTGTCTCTCTGAAGACTGCCATAGTAAGTTATATGATTGTCTGATTCAAAATGACCAATACTAGTCCAGTTTAGCTCACTAATGCCCAGTATATCAATCTATATGCATTTCATTTCATTTGTGATGACATTCAATTTTCCTACATCAAACTTTGTACATTCCACATTCTGATTATAAATAGATGTTTGCAGCTATTTCTTCTAATTTTGAATTGTACCCCATCAACAAATGAAGGTCCTGAAAGTTTTGTTCCAGTTGTGCCATTAAGGTCAACTCTACTTTGAGGAGGCAGCTCTTCCCTAGACTTTGAGTGCCTTCCAACCTGAGGCATTTATCTTTTGGCACTATATCTGACAATCTTCTGCTGTTATTCATAAAGTTATCAGTGGCTAACCATTCAGAAGAAGTCTGCCACTCCTTCTTCCTAGTCTGTTTTAGTTTGTAAGCTCCACTGAACCCTGTCCACAGCCATGTGTGACCCTGCTGGTATTTAAAACATTGGTGCCATAGCATCTAGCATCACAGCAACATGCAAGCCACCACAGTATGACAAAACGACAGAGGAGTGGTGGAGAGATGTGTTTATAAAAATCCCAATTATATGCCCCCTTACCCACTTTCTTGGAGTCCTGGTGTGGCGCTGTGGGTTAATGCACCAGACTGCAAAGCCATTTGAACTGCAAGGTCAGTGGTTCAAGCTCACCAGCTGCTCCTCAGAAACCCTATACAGGGTCACTATGGGTCGGAAGTGACTCGATAGCACTTCACAACAACAACAACCCATGTTCTTTTCTCTTGCCACACAGCACAATTTGTCAATTTTTATGTGAATCCAAATTTTTTTCACAGAATCCTGGTGTGCTGCTGTGGACTAATGCTCTGGACTGCAAAGTCAGTTTGAACCACAAGGTCGGTGGTTCAAGCTCACCAGTCACTCCTTGGGAACCCTATACAGGGTTGCTATGGGTTGGAACAGACTCAATGGCACTTAACAACAATAACATTTTTTTTTTTTTCAGGTGGCACTCACCTGTAAGTCAGGATAGCATTTAAGGAAGTTTCCTAATATGCTAGAATGCCATAAACTTAATTCAGCGTCAGGAGACTTGACCCTCTAGTCAGACTAGCCACTAGCCACTGACTACCTGAGTGACTATGGACAAGCATTTATTGTTCTGGGCTTTTATCTTCTCTGTGAGTTGTGAGCGGCCGTCTAGATACACTCAGGTACCTACTACTGCACTCTGCTTGATAGAAACGATTTGCCCTTGGAGCAGGATCAGTATAAGATTTTCATCAGAGCACCAGCTAAACACTAAGCAATGCAAAGGCATGTTGGGGGAGACATCATCTCTCTAAATAAAACCCTTACAAATAAATACTTTGAGCCCCCTCAGCTCAGTGAATTTGTGAATACCCAGGGGAAGTAAGTTTGTTAAGAGAGAAATACCAGCATCAATTTTCTTTATAAAATGCATCTCTAGGTCTTATTTTTCAGCAATTTCTTACTGCAATGTGCAGGAGCGAATCCAGTTAGGGTGCTTGATTTGCAGTAAAGTAATCCCCAGACTCTGGATGGATTGTTAGTGAGCCACTCAGTGAGTGGTGGTTGGTGGTGGTTATGTGACTCATAGCAACCCTGTACAAGGTTTCCGAGGCTGTAAATCTTTACGGGATCAAGTCAATATAGGTACTTCAAATCAGGAGACCATGGTGTTGTTAAACCAACAGATTCCAGAGTGAACTAGCAGACAGCTGAGGGCAGAATGGGTTTCCATGAAAGTTTGAGTATGAAGATAGATAGGTAAAGGGAAGGAAGGAAAAAAAGAAAAGAAGTCAGGAAGGGCAGAAGGAAGGTTGGAAGAATCCTTTCCATTAGAACTATAAATGGAATAATCATGAATTATTCTAGTTATTATTATTGCTTTTTCTGGACTTGGGTAGGAACCTTCAGCCACCTCTGAGGACCAGATAAGGAGACCTTGGTGGTACAGTGGTTAAGCACTTGGCTGTTAACACTAAGGTCAGTGGTTCAAACCCACCAGCCGCTCTGCAGGAGAAAGATCTGTAAAGATGACAGCCTTGGGACCTCTATGATGCAGTGCCACTCTGTCTTATAGGGCCGCTGTGAGTCAGAATTAACTTGATGTCGACAGGTTTGGTTTTATTGGTTTGCGAGGACTGCGCTGAAATAAGTCAACAAATATTTATGGGGTATCTACTGTGAGTGAGGGTCCCCAAAGTACCTTGTAACCACTGAGTCCCTCCACAGTATTTTGAAAAATTTATTTCAAAAGTATCTCCTGGTTATCTTCCAATAAAATGGAGCATCAAAGAATAGGATTGCAGTTAGATTCCAAGGCAGGTGACCATTGGATAGAGAAGGCCAGTCGGTGGGTGTGGGGTCCGTCTAAGCCAAATAGGCCTCCACTACATTTCTACTTCACCCCAATTCACCACTGTAGATCCCCATTCATCTACAGCTTGTCTCCTTTTATTCTCTACTAAAGAACCTTTCAACAATCCTGGAGAACCAATGTATCTTTCTGGCTGCATTAATCAGACAAAAGGTAGAGGTTGTCTAAGATTAAAAGTGTATAATATCTAAGTTTTATTATCTTCTCCCTCATGCCCCCTTTTTTTGTTGTTGTTTTGATCTTAGGACTTCAAGGACAGCCAGGAACCAAAGGAGAATCAGGAGTTCCAGGTAAAGAGCTGGCTTCATTTTAATTTCTCAGAATAAACACCGGAGAGTCTGGCACACTCAGAGGGCAGCGCTTAGTGACTGAATGTTCAGGTGTATGACCTCCCCACTACACCCCAAATTGTCATGCCCAAACCCATTTGAAGCTCATACTTTAAGATCCTGTCACTCGAACCTGGAAAACTAGTTTTCCTTTGGAAAACTAGCCCCTCACCGTGATGAGGAAGAAGAGAATGTCAGGGGAGCTGGACATGCACCTGGGTCTCCGGGTTGTGCAGCTAGCCCCACAGAGCTCCTGAGCTCCCTCTCCCGTGCCCACTGTGGTGGGAAGTTCTGCTTTTCTAAATCTGCTGTGATCTATATTTGCCTCTTCTGTGGTCCCTCAGGAGTTACTGTGTGGTGCAAACAATTCATATACTCAGCTACCAACCAAAAGGTTAGAGGTTTGAGTCCACTCAGAAGCACCAGAGAAGAAAGTGATTTATTTAAAAAATATCAGTCACTGGAAACCCTGTGGCACACATTAGTCTGACACAGATGGGACCCTATGGCAACTGGTTTGATTTGGTTTGGTTTGGTGGACCCTCCAGCCTCTTCTCCCCCTGCCTGTTCCTTCTAGCTAGGCTGATATTATCATCCTTGTTTCCTGAGCCCTGGCTAACAGTTGGTTACTGATCTTGTACTTTTTCCAGTCTTTCAACAGCCTTTCCCCAGTTGAGTGCTAAAGCATCATTTCTTAGACAATTTGAACACATTTTTGTTCTCATCAGCTCGATGTTTTTGTTATTTTATTAAATGAGAATTTAACACCTAGAAACGTTCTAGTATATTCTCTCAACATGTCTAGGACTTCCACACAATAAATGTTAGATGAATATCAACCACCTCTGGAATCCTGCTGGCTCTTCACCTGCCTGGTCTCCATCAGCACTGAGCAGGGAGTCACATCATCCACTTAGCTGGACCAAAGACAGGCTGAACATTCAACCTACCCATTCGTGGGGGAGTCAGGGGGATCTAGATTTTAAGGCCAGTTCACTGGATAAGCAGCAAGGCCTTTGGATTCTCCTTGGGAAATCAGAGCAGAGTGCCTGATGGAGGTGGTCTCTCTCCTGTCCAGGTCTTACAGGCATGAAGGGACAAAAGGGAAACACAGGACTGACAGGCCCCAAGGGTGAACCTGGACAGGTTGGCCAGAAAGGAAACCCAGGAATGAAAGGTAAGTGCTGTTTCTGGCTTGTGGTTTCATAGGAGAGGCCCTATTCTTAAGGGTACAAGGATTTTCAGAACCCAGGCAGGTAGAAGTTCCAGGATTCAGCTGACAGTACCCTGGGCACTGAGAACACAGACGTGAATAGAGCACAGCCCTGGAGCTCAGAGAGATCGTTGAATGGACTTGTAAATGCCAACAGTTTCAATACGTGATTGGATCTTTTCATGAAAGAGATGCTTCCATACCAACCTGCCTGGAGAGCATGTGACTTTGTGGCTTAGTGGTAGAATTCTCCTCTTCCACACCAATACGCAGCTGTCTGTTAACGGTGCTTTTCATGTCGTTGTGATGCTGAATAAGCTTTAGCAGAGCTTCCAGATTAAGAAAAAATAGGAAGAAAGGCCGGTGGTCTACTTGTAAAAAATCAGTCAGTAAAATGTGATCACAACATCCAATCCTTTTGTATATGAGATCATCACGAGTTGGGGGCCAATTTGGCAGCAGCTAAGAATGACAATCTAACTTAGCTAAAGTGCTACTGTAGCTAAGGCAATTTTTTTTTCTCAATTGTAGTCCAGGGCAGACCCAGTCCCTAAGATACCAGTTGCCCTGGCAAAGCTGGCTTCTTCCCACCTGTCCTAGGCTGGGTTCTTTACAGAAGCAAAACCAGTGAAGTTATAACTGTAAAGAGAAGTTTGGATCAAGGAAATGGCTCATACAGTTGTAGAAGTGGTCAGTCCCAAGTCCATGGGTAAGGTGTCAGGTGGGAGGTTTCTGACTCATTTTGTTACAGGGCTGATGAGTCAAGATTGGCAGGTCAGATGATAGGCAGGCATGTCTGGCAGGTAAGAAGGCAGGCTGCTGCCAACTCCCAGGATTAGCAGGTCACTGACTCAAGTCCAAAGAACCAGAGATTGGAGGATGAGCTAAATGCAAGATCAATACCCAGCAGAGAGCAAGTAAGCCTTACCTGAGCTTCCAATATATTAGAAGCAGGTTACACCTCCATGGAAGCTTCCCATCAATCGATTGTCTGCTCATGGCAGACCTCAGCATAGAGTTGATTACATTATATTACATCTCTTCATGGGGGATAACTCCATCTCAACTGCCAAACCACTGAGGATCCTGGCCCAGTCAAGATGACACGAAACCTTAACTGTTAGACAACCCCTTCCACCATCCTCCTCACTGCTGGCAAAGGAAGCCAAGGGACCACTAGGCTTGGTTTCCTTTACATTGTGGGTTTTGTTTTTTCTTCTCATGACAGGATCTTCTGGGCAGCAAGGAATAAAGGGAGAAAAAGGTCAAAAAGGTAATTGCTATTCCTATTTTTAATTGGTGATTTAAAGTCAATTCTGTACTTGGAAATTGTGTGTTTGAGGAAGATGTCCTGGGTCTCAAAGACATTTCTTATTTGCAGGGAAAGCTAATGGGTTGACCCTTGAATAAAGTTACCCATGGCATACAGCCACAGTGCAATAGTGTTCCCTCTGTCCTTCCTGCCACCTGTCTGCCTGCATGCTTGCTTCCTTCTTTCCCTCCCTCCCCCTCTTTCTATCTGTCCCTTTCCCTCCTTCATCCTTCCATTCTCTCTCCTTCATTTCCTTGGTGGCTTCATTTCTTCCTCAGGTTTTCTTTTTTCCTTCACAAGACATGGAAGACTAGTATGTTGGCCTGTACCGCATGCCCCAGAGGCAGCACTCCTCTGACATCCCACCACAGACCTAGGTGTGTAGAGTCTACCTTGGAGGTTGAGTTGGTGCAGTGATGGGGGATCTTCCAGACTCTGAGGAAAACAAAGGAGCACTAGTCTAAGATCCAGCTCAGGCTTCTTTTTCTTCAGAGTAAGAAGAAAATATCTGTACGAAGACCAAGCCCTAGGTGGTTGCCTTCCCTCTCATGCGTGCTTCCTCACCCAGGTGAGTCCCAACAACTTGTAAGGATCATTGGTACTGCGACTCGAGGACGTGCTGAAGTCTACTACAATGGCCTCTGGGGGACCATCTGTGATGATGACTGGGACAGTTTGGATGCCACCGTCTTCTGCCGCATGCTAGGTTACTCCTCAGGGATAGCGCTTTTCAACGGAGCACAAGGTAAGTGAGTCATTGCCAAGGACTTCTTTAAGTTGCTGAGTTGGCCCACTCTCACTAGTAGGGTACTGAGACTTTGCTTGTGAATGGCTCAGAGTGGTTGTGGTTCAACAGAGCATTGATTCAAGCAACTGGAAAGTACTGCAGCTCAGGGATCCAGGCCACCCCAGCAGAATGATGTCTTAATTTCTCCATCAGTGATAACAGAGGCTTGAGTTCTGGCCTAGGCTAATGTCTGTGAAAATCTGGGACCACTTTGTGAGAGATGGTCTTCCAAATGACAGTTGGAGTGGGGCCTAGAAGAATGGATGCAGGCTATCTGGGAAGTCAAAGCATGAGCTGCCAAGCATCTTTGCTGTGGCCATCAGTAAGGAGAAGGTGGGGAGAGACACCCACAAAAGACAGTAAAATCAGTGTGGGGAAGCTATACTGGAATGCTAGAGACTTGACCTTATGTCTTTCAGCAAAAAATTCCAACTTTCAACAAAGAAGTTCATAAGCCATGAAAGCTGATGTACAGGGACAGACAATAGACTGGCTTTTCCTGTCTCCATTCCCTAAATGCTCTTTGCCCCTGCCCCACCCCAAAGCACATTTCTGATTTTTAATCTGTGTCCTTTAAAATGCACCTTTTTCCTTCATAAACCTGTTGATCATATGATAATCAAATTCTTGATCTGAAACCAATTCTATCAGAAAGAAGGGGGCTTGAGGGAGGTGGAATGCCCTCGAGCAGAGGTATGACATAGTGAAAAAGGTGTGAAAGCAAAAAGAGAGACAGCAATCATGAATGAGCAGGGAAGAAACTGATAACAGCGACCGCAAGGAGGCGTTTTCAAATAGTGCATGGATTAAGTATTAAAAATTTGGATGGAGGAGAACAAACAAGATGGCGGATCGGATGGAC